GGTTGTGAATGGGGCTGCTGTCTGCCCGCTTACGTCCTTTTTTAGGGGCAGGAAAAAAAAAAACGAACGGGCAACAACGCCCAAGGATATGGAAGGCGGTACAACATGGCTGGCGGATGTGCGAGATGGTGGGCGGTAAGATATGGGGGAGGAAAAAGACGAGGGAAGAAGAAGAAGAAAGTAGGAGGACGGAAGAAGAAGACGAAAGGAGGAGGAGGGAGAAGAAGAGGAGGGAAGGAGGAGGAAATGAGGAGGAGAAAAAAAGATGGAGACTTGAAAAACGAAAGAGACGGAAGGAGGAGGAGTAGAGAAGAACAAGGAGGAGGAAGCGTAGGAAGAGGAGGAGGAAGAAGAGGAAGATCAAGAAAGGAGGAAGAAGAAGATGATGAAAAGAGGAGGAGGATGAGAGAAGAACAAAGGGGCAGGAGGAGGAGAGAAGGACAAGACGAAAGGAAGAGGAGGAGGAGGAAAGAAAAAAAAAGGAGGACAAGACGAAACTTGGAGGAGGAGGAGGAGAGAAGAAAAAGAAGACAAGAGGAGGAGGATAGAAGGAGAAGACGAAAGTAGGTGGAGGAGGAGGAGAGAAGAAGAAGACAAGAGGAGTAGAGAAGAAAAAGTAGATGAGAGGAGGAGGAGGAGAAGGAGAACACGAAAGAGGAGGAGGAGGAGGAGGAGAACACGAAAGTGGAGAAGGAGAAGGAGAGAAGAAGAAGACGGGGGGAAGAGGAGGAGGAGGAAGAGGAGGAGGACCTGCCAGATTCGGATGGTGATGACAAAAAAAAGAAGGAAAGAAAAAGGATGACGAAGGAGGAGGAGGAGGAGGAGGAGGAGGAGAGAAGAAGAAGAAGGAGAGAGAGAGAGAGAGAGAGAGAGAGAGAGAGAGAGAGAGAGAGAGAGAAGAGAGAGAGAGAGGAGGAGGAGGAGGAGGAGGAGGAGGAATCCCGCCAGTCAGCACGTCAACTGGCCGTGCAGCTCGCCTATCCCGGCACGTGCCAGCTGTGAGCGTCGTGTTGCCCACACCACGTGGCACTTTGCGTACTAGAAGAAACACATGAAATAGGTAGGAGGAGGAGGAGGAGAAAGGAGTAGAGAAGAAGATGAAATGAGGAGAGAAGGAGACGAAAGAAGGAGGAGGAGGAGAAGAAGATGAAAGGAGGAGCTGGAGGAGAGAAGAAGAAGAATAGAGAAGGAGGAGGAGGAGGAGGAGGAGGAGGAGGAGGAGGAGGGGGAGAGAATAAGAAGATGAGAGGAAGAGGAGTAGGAGGAGGAGAGAAGGAGGAGGAAAGAAGGACAAGACGAAAGGAGTAGGAGAGAAGAAAAAGAAGAGGGCAGGAGGAGGTTAGGACCTGCTGGATGTCGATGGCGATGACGAAAAAAAAAAAGAAAAAAAAGAGGACGACGAGAGAGAGAGAGAGAGAGAGAGAGAGAGAGGAAGTCCGCCCGTTAGTGCGTCAACTGGCGGCGGGATTTCACTGCAGCTTGCCTATGCCGACATGTGGCAGCTGTCAGCTTCCTGTTGCCGCGTGGCACTTCGCGTACAAAAGGAAACACATGAAATCGGGAGGAGGAAAAAGGAGGAGGAGAGAGGAAGATGAAAGGAGGAAGAGAAGGAGGAGGAGGAGAGAAGGAGACTAAAGGAGGAGGAGGAGGAGAGAAGAAGATGACAGGAGAAGAAGACGAACGGAGGAGGAGGACGAGAAGACGAGAGGAGGAAGAGGAGGAGGAGAAGAAGACAGAGGAGGAGGAGGAGGAGGACCTGTCGGCAGTGTATGGCGATGGAGAAAAAAAAAGAGGACGATGGAGGACGTGGAGGAGGAGGAGAGAAGGAAAACACGAAAGCGGAGGAGTAGGAGGAGGAGAGAAGAAAAAGAGGAGAGGAGGAGGAGAAGGAGAGAAGGACAAGACGAAAGGAGGAGGAAAGAAGACAAAGAAGAGAAGAGGAGGAGGGGGAGGAGGACCTGCCGGATTTCGATGGTGATGACAAAAAAAAAAAAAAAAAAAAAAAAAGAGGATAACGAAGGAGGAGGAGGAGAAGAGAAGAAGACGAAAGGAGGAGGAAGAAGACGAAAGGAGGAGGGGAAGAAGAAGAAGAAGAGGAAGCAGGTGAAGGCGGCTTCACCCCGATGGCGCTAGCAGCTTCACGGCCAGCGACGACGTGGATTCGTTCTTGATGGGGCAGCTCAACAGGGAGCGACGATGGCAGCTCGACGAGGAGGAGCAGCGACGACGGCGGGCCTGGAGACGGCAGATATGACGGCCGGGCTTCGTGACGGCAGCTTCGCAGTGGAGGATACCACATTCGAATTCGAACGCGGTGCGGTAGGCGAGCATGGGGGAAAATGAGGTCATTTCTTGCGGCTTTCTTGCGGCCGATCGCAGCCGCCGGTCTTTGCAGGTCGGGTGCTGAGATCAGTCGCCGAAGAACCCTTTCCCCCGGCCTCACTTGGGCCTGAGTTTGAACCAAAGTGTTCACGGGGGCTGGGGATGTTCCGACTGGGCGAAAAAGGCCTTCCCCCCCCCCCCCCCCCCCGCGTGAAATTGCGCTGGGCCCGCCCAGCGCCAAACCGGGGGACCCAACCGGCCGGGCCGCCCGGGACCCCTGCCGGACGAAGGCTGGGCCGCCAGACGGCCCGGATTTTAACACAGATTATTTCGGCTCTACGCAACATGTCGCGTGGGCCTAGAGTTTCTGCGGCTGAAACCGCAGTGCCTCAACGTGTTTTGTAGCGGGAAGTAACCTGCAACACCCAGGGCTGAAGTGCTTAGCAGGACCGCCCTAGGTGGGAATCGCAGAAGTACGAGGTACCGGAAAGTAGAGGTGAGCAAAGATAGTATTTATTGAAGATGAGCGGACGCCCTCGAAACAGACTGAGTAGTCGAGGAGAAGGTCTGTAGCGTGGAGGTTCTTCACGCTCTTTACGATGTGGTTATGCTACGAGATGTAAACCTCTAACTGCATTGTTATTATTTCTATCTCACCAGTCCTTCCGGGCCTCTGTTTTCCCTGTGTATTTGTGCTGCACACCACTGAAAAACCAACCGGCACAGGCGCATTGTCTACCTTGTTTGCCTGCAGCCCTCAGCCATTCTGGTCTGGTGGACTGGGTCACGAAGGTCGCAGGGCGTATACGGCTACAATGGACCATTGTGCCTGCAAAACGTACCGGTGGTTCAAGCGACCAGCTTCAGAGGCCTTTGGTGCGGTCTCTCATGGTTAGTGCAGGGGTAAACGACCCAAACCAGGTGCCAGTGGGGCCGGGCCATCGTCAATTTTCAATTCTCATTAGCTAAGGGGTCAGTCTAGATAAGAGCTGGGCCGGTTGGATTTGGCATCCAGGTTGCTGTCCCCCAGGTTGACAGGAACAATCTCCGCATTGCATCATCAGGCAGCACCTGAACAACCGGTGCCGTGCAGCTTCTACTGTCTGCCAAATCGTCGCAGAACAAGGCCTACTGGGCACCACCAGCCTATGTTGCACGGTCAGCCGAGCCTCTTTCTGCAAGTCCCCATTGCCAACTGGCCATTGGAAGCGAAAGCTGGGACGAGTACCATTGGAAACGAAAGCTGGGACGAGTACCGGTACCACCGGTGGTGGTTTACTGCTAAACTGTGACTGTGACTGTGACTGTGACTGTGACACTGTGACTGTGACTGTGACTGTGACTGTGACCAAGTGTACGGTTGTTCCAGCCCTGACCCATTCACCACTGCTTCAGTGGAGCAGGCGAGATGGATGAGCTCAGGGCCTGGCTCCACTCCTCAGCAAATGTGCAAAATGAGAATGAATCTTCGTCCGCTAGCACACGGGAAGTTACACTGCCATATTTTTTGTCTTTTGTGCATGTGGTTAGAGGTGGAGAGAGGCCCTCAATTATCGACCACCTAAAAGTGTCAAATGTGTAGGATGAGGTTATCAATGAACGTAGACATTTTACAAGGTGGGTACAACAGTTGGATGCATAAATTTCTCCACGCTACTTTCACCTGACAGATTTCCGCATTCCGCAGCAATCCTCTTCTCTCCTACAGGCAAGTTCTCCGTTGCCATCTCCTTCATATAGGGACATCCATGAAAGGCAATCCTTCATTGGGAGATCCATGAAAGACAAAGGCATTCTCCTAGAGGCAAGTTCTTGGTTTGCATCTCCTGTTCATAGGGACATCCATGAACGACAAAGGCAAAACAAGGCAACAGGAAACTTCTTTTTCTATTAACCGTATCTTTCTTTCGCTAGTTTTCTTTTTTTTATTTTATTATTATTATTATTATTATTATTATTATCATTATTATTATTATTTTATTTTATTATAATTTTTTTGAGAGAAAACTGTCCATTTTTCTATTAACCCTGTCTTTCTTTCGCTAGTTTCTCTTTTGTGTGGTCAGGTGGACTGCAGCTCAGATACTAAATCTATCAGACCAGACACTACGCTACATCTCTTGGCCTGGGGCCTGGACCCATTAACGAAGTATTCTACCACTCCGTTCAGGATTTCGATCACGTGTGGCCTGGAGTGACGCAGTACGGCCATCTACTACATCGGATCTCGACGGCCTGGTAGTTTCCGAGCGGGGACTGTAAAGATGCCCACCTCCCGTCCAATGAGATGCGTCGAAAAAAAAAAACCAACAAAGTTGGACTAACTTGGACATGATAGCTCATGGTTTTGCGTGGGCGGGAAGTCTGGATTTTATGGGCTATAAAGAGGGGGGGTTGATTTCCAGACTTCGTTTTTTTTTTTTTTTTGGCTCTGACAAATAGAACTTGAAATGTGAAATTCAGATATCGTGGTGGATCTGACAGGAATGCTTCCGGATCTGTCGGATGGCCTGTTAGAGGCATCATGAGATACATGGGGATGAATGTATCCCTATAGCCATTACTTGTCCATCCTCATGACTGTGTTTGTGGACACATTTTATTGCCACGGTACATCACTATGAAGACTTACGTGAAGGAGATCGTACCAACCCATGAATTCGGGTGCACAGCTGTTCTTCATATACAGAATTAGACTAGAAGTCTAATTCTGAGAATCAATAATCAAATGATCAGTCCATCAGAAAACCATCCATTCATGCAAATAAAAAATCACTCTGTATTTCCAAAAAAACACGCATCACACATCGTCGAATACTTCGCTAGTGGGTCCAGGCCCCTGAAGGTGGGGAAAATATACAGAAAGCAAATGAGGCTGCAGGCAGCCATACAGGAGAGAGAAGGGACAGAAAGGGGGAAGGACCAAAACACCAAACAAAAGAAAATAATTGCCCGAGCCCAAGCTGCACTGCATATCACTGAGCTGACTGACAATCATTGCCTCTCATGCCGCCTGCCAACACAATACTGCAGACAGAGTCCTAACTCGCGCAGCAGACGGAGTCACATCTCATGTGGGTATGTCCACACAATTCTATCTTGATTCTGACAGTGGCAGGTACCACCAATGCCTCCTCACTCAATACTGACACACAGGACCCTGACCCTCAGATATCACTGACGTCAATGTCAGACAGCATGATGACGCCCCATCTTATCCCAGGATATAACCAAGGCACTGCCCTACAGGGGGGGAGGATCTAGCATACTCATCTGCAACAAACAGTGCATCCTTCCTCTCCTACCCCGAGGCAACAACCGCTGCACACATCTCTATCACAGTCGACATATGGAGCATTTCCCACTTGAATTGCAGCCAGGAGGTAAAGTGGCTTAGCTCATTAGGTACACACAGGAACTGTTGAAACACAGACCGGAGTTCAAATCCAGATGCAAGCAGATGTAAAAACTCTGGCTTTAGCAGGGGCTAAAGATGACATCTTAAGGCCGTTACCCTTACTCAAGGGGAGTTTGGCGAGGGGGGGAGGTGGGGGGGGGGGACGGGAAAATAAGTGCTAGATAAAAGAACATGATGCAGCCTAAGTTGGATTGGATTGTACTTGTCCATAATATAGCTGGGCATTAAGGTCTGATACCAGGATCACAACTCTTTCTCTGAAAAGAAGGAAATAAAAGGAACAAAAAACAGAGTGGTCCAGAACCACCTGCTCAGTCAATCCTCTGAACTCAGAGCAATCAATGCTGGCAGGTTCTCCCCCCCCCCCCCCCCCCCCCCCAGATACTCTCTCAATTTTCCTCAGGTGCTCTCTGTCTATTGTCTATTTTCTGAAAAAAGAAAATTTCATTTACAAGTCTGGAACTCTTTTTTTCTCTCTATTGTTCACACCTTTGGGTCTCCTTAGACACTCCTAAACGAACACTAAAATGTTTAGGACGAGTCCTAAAGGATTTTTAGGATTTCATGCGGCGTCATTACACGCAATCCTAAAAACCATCTTTTAGGATTCGTCCTAAAAGGTCTCCCGGTGCCGGTTTTCATATGCGTATACGCAGCCATGTCGCCAATGTCCGTCCATTCCTGCCAATGTCCTCCCAATCCCCGCCAACGGCTACCATCCGTGGCCGTTGCCTGAGTCGACCCGCAGAAAAACTCCGATGTCCGACCACTGACCCGACGGACCGCTTCTGCACCAGCAACACGGCTTCTGCACCAGCAACTCCGTGTCGACGGTGCCATGCGTGCGACGCAACGAGTCCGTTAAGCGAGGGAATCCTAAATTTTTCAGTAGGTCGGGGGCTACTGGAAAATTTAGGACGATTTTGCCTGGGGAATCCTAAATCCTTTAATCCTCGTCCTAACGCCGTTTTCACATTTTCGATCTCAAAATCGGATTTAGGATTGCGTGCAACCAAGACGCAATCCTAAAAACAGGCTCTTTTAGGAGTGTCTAACGAGACCGTTTGTCCATAATGCAGTTTTGGCATTAATTTACCGTCTTCAACCAAATACAACATACGATATAGAGCAATTAAGACCTGCGTTGTCTTCACAGTAATAAAGCCCAGTCATTATAGCTGCATTCAGGGCAACTTTCAGTCCAGATGCAGCCATAACGAGTGGGCATTCTATTCGGGTGAAGATGGAAGTTCACACCAGTTTGCAAGGCTGGGAAGGCAGGCATGGAAGGCAGGCTATTAAATATAATAGGCTTGACTGTTAAAAGTTAGTCAAAACCACCTAAGGTATTTGGCTGCCTTCCAAGCCTCGCAGCATACTGCACATTTTCAAACTGCCCTGCCAAGCCTGCCACTTTTTTACTACTGGCCCAGGCCCAAAGCCACGAGTGCTCTTACCGCATAGAATGGTAATAAGCAAGTTCATGTGACCTGGTGGTTTAAACCACAAGGAACCCAGGGGGTCTTGTGCCCCCTCTGACACAATGAATACGGTCCCACACAGTGCACCGATTCAGCCTCGGAGTCCATGTTAACGCCTAAAAACGCAGTAGGTACTGGTGGTTCAACAAAATAACCCCAACCACCTATCTAATTGGACCGTTGTTCATGAAAATGTACTCCTTAAAAATCCTCATCAAATCTATAGACCCATCCACATATCCACGAACTTCACGAACTTCACCATTCAGTCAAGTAGAGCCTTAAGTTACAGAGCTTCTGACAAGCTTACACCCGATCACCAGACAGTGTTATGTGCTGACAAGTTGCACTCGATGGATCATAGCCTCAATTCCCTAAAGACCTTTAATATGTGAAACAACAAAAGCACAAACAAAAAGAGCATGAGCAAGGCCAAAACCCCACCAAAACAGATGTCCTTCAACATCTGTTAAAATAGGTATAGTAAAGAGAAGCACAGATGAGGGCAAAAAAAAAAAGAAAAAGAGAGATCCTTCAACTGCACCTGTGACCACTGCACAGTTCAGAATTCACAGAAATAACAGTCCACTCCAAAATTGGGTGAAGACAAGTTAGAAACTGCAAGAAAAGCAGTGATGCATGCGTCCAACGGCCTACCGATTCAATAATTGGCAAAAAAAGGAGGTGGCGGTAGTGGTACCGCTCTTTTTCCCGGCGGTAGTGGTACCACTCTTTTTCCCAGCAGTAGTGGTACCACTCCTTTTCCCATGGCCTGGCCTGGGAGCAGTTACCGATAGCAGGCCCTCCCGTTTTTGGCTTGTTTCCCCAGGGGTGTGCCTACCTAGGAATCTCGGCCGTGGCCCAGCCACGGGTGTGGCCTAGACATCTTGGCCGTGGCCCAGCCATGGGCATGGCCAAGACATCTCGCCGATGGCCTACACAGCACATCCATGCCGCATAAGCAGGGGCGGAAAAAAAAAAAAAAAAAAAAACGCAGGCACAGAAAAAAAAAAAGAAGGCACAGAAAAAAAAACAAATAAGGCACAGGAAAAAAAAAGGCAAAAAAAAAACCAAAACCAAAAAAAAACACAAATGGATAAATGATTTTGCCACTTAACTTCAAGAGGCTAGAAGTGCACTAACTGCCCTCCCTCAGCCCAGAACCGCAGTGCCCTGTTTGTTATTCCTTCCTGCGAATTTGAAACTGTGCAGCGGTCAGTCGCGCGCGCACTGCCAGTTATTTCAACAAAATAAAAGCGCACCAATTTCAACCAAAACAATACCAGTGCACGAAAATGCATGCCCTCTCTGAGGTAAGCATAACTCGTCCATATGCCACCTGTGCACCACCATTCCTCCACAGCTTAACCCCTCTCTGAGGTAAGGAACCATAACTCGTCCCTATGCCACCTGTGCACCACCGTTCCTCCACGGCTTAACCCAGATAGAACTGAAACCGAACTCCAATTACATTCAACGCATGCCCCATCGCAACCAAACTGCCTCATGGCTTGTCTGTGGCCAGCAGCTCTCCATCCCAATCCACCTTCACACCAAACCCTTGCTGAGCATATAAAATAAATGGGAGGAAACCCAAAGCAAACTCAAATCAGCCAAACAAACATTTCCTGTCCGGTGCAAGAAACCATGATCCCCCCTGGGGCTGTCAGCTGAAGATTCTCCCTGTGTCTGTTCCAACCACTTTTAAGCAATACAAATCTTAGAAACCACCACCCAAATTGAATTTCGAATTTTCCGATCTATGTATTACAGCACAGCCCTTGCCTTCACCCATATCTCTTCAACCAATAAACAACAATGATAAGAACAAGACTGAAGTCTTCATCTTCCTATTCAGGCATGAAAGCGATGACTACATCGCTCCACACAATGCAGATGAACCAAAGCCATCACCATCATATGGTCCACAGCAATGGAAACCAAACATAACCAACACACCGCCCCATCAGACCACAGGAATTTCTTTTTGCCTGAAATTGTCTCTATGATATGAAGGTCCATAAATTTATTTCCACAAAACCAGACAAACTCAACAAGCCCAGACCGCGTTCCCATATATCGTACAATATTACTACAGAACTAATTCTCAGCTGTTTGTCCAGGCACCGGGGCACCAAACTTGTGACCTGGTACATGCCCCGGTGCCCAAGTACATGCCCGGGTGCCCCGCAAGGCATAAACCCCAGGCAGCCGCAGCACCAAAAAAAAAAAAAAAAAAAAAAAAAAAAAAAAATAATAATAATAAAATTCCAGAAAATCTGAAAAAACAAAATGTTGTGGAGGATTGCAATACAAACAAGTTTCGGCTGAGGGTCACATAGGTATTCCTCACAGAATTGAAAATGACAGGAAAACAACAGAATCAGACTGCCCCCCCCTCTAAACCCCTTAAGCCCCTTAAAACCAATTTATACCCCCCTTCCCCGCCCTTGACAGCCAACAGTCATAAAAGGAAAGGAGCCCAAATGCGCTGCTCAGCCTCCTCTGGCCATGCGCAGAACCCCCCCCCAACCAAAAACTGGCATTAGTGAGTCACCAGCCACATGCATGTGCAATGCTGCATCTCTTAGAAAAATTGCCATCATTCAGGCAAACATCCCTCTTACACGACAAACCATCACCTTGCCCATAGAAATAGAAGATACCTATGTAGCCATTTGCAAGCCATAAACACGTTCGCGTTCAAATTCACGTTTGAATGCATCCTCACATTCGCATTCAATTTTGAACAGCATTCTTTTTTTTCTTTTTTCTTTTTTTTGATGAGCCCATTTACAAGCCCTCTAGCCCAGTGGTGGTAAGAGAACCACAAAGATGAATTTGAATAGTCAGGTTTCTCCATCTATTGGTGGGGGGAGCAACACCTGCTGGAAACCAGGTCCAGCATCTCTCTCTCTCTCTCTCTCTCTCTCTCTCTCTCTCTCGAGCAACACTATGCGTGCCAACTCTAGGCCGACACAAACCCCAGGGAAACTAACCCCACCCGTCTCCCCCCCCCACGCGGACTTGAACTCCGCATGCACACACGTTCATTGAACGGAGTTCAATTCCATTCAATTTTTGAACAGAAAAGTCAAATTCAATGAATGAACGGTGAAAAGGATGACATCAACATGAAATAAAAGCAGGAAAAAAAAAAACAAGTCTCCATGCAAAACAAAACATCCCATCCACCCCCTACCGTATCCGCTGCTGCTTGGAAGACACATGCCTCCAGACCAACACATCTCACACATGCATTCAACTGCATTGCATAATTGGTCGCTTCCCACAGCAAGAGAACACACACAAGTGACAGAAGAGATGCAGAGAAAAGAACAACAGAACCTTCCCAAGTCCCTCCATGAACCGCATTCCTGTCTTCGCACAACACGAGAAGAGGAGCATAAACTTAAACAAAAAAAAAAGAGTGAACCATCTGATGTCACATCCCAAACGAGATGGATAAAACAACACGTGCGAACAAGTCAACACACAGACCAATAATCTCCAACAAAACATGGAAAAGACGCTCTCCCACCCCTCTCTCACCCAAGAAACACAATCTTACCTGTCGATATGATTTTCTTTGGAAGTTCCTTTCCAGGAAGATAGCAATCACAGAAAAGAGAGTGACAACGACCATAAGCAGATCATTAGATCAAATCAATCGAATCGAAATGGAAAAGAATCCCCAGATTTTAAGGGTCCTACTTGCTTACGCCCCACGAAAGAACAAATGCCTTTCCTGGGCCCACAACTTCAGACATGTCTACCAAACGACACTCTACTGGACATTACAACCCAACTCCTTCAAACAGAACATTCAAACCCAACCCTGTACCAGTAAAGTAATGCCAGACTCTCAGAAAACCCACTGGGTGACTGCATCCGTCACCCTCTATGTCACACAAGAGCAAAAACCTACACACTCCGTAAGAATGACATCACAATCCAGGTCACACTAAGAAAACCCATCATCAAAATCGGGCTTCCGTGGAAGTCAACAAATTCAGAGACGCAGTGAAAGGAGATTCTCCGTCCACTCTCCACATGGCATCCCTCCGTTTCGAAAACCTCCCTCTCCCCCCAACTGCTGCCTTGCTGCAAATGTGGGCCATGCCTCTAATGTGTCGCTGATCGTCCTCTCAGATCAGCTACTCATAAGCTAAGGTTGCGGAGTCTTAACCACTCAACTTTGACAGCACTAGACAGCACCATCATCTTATCTTAAGTTCCAAGTCCTTAGAATGAGCAAGTACAGCTCAAAACTGTGTTAGGCCCATTTTATTATACGTACGGACCAGTACAGTAATACGAGCCCTCTCGAATATCGTCACACTACAAATTCCACCACAATGGTTTCCTCCCCCCCCCCGGGGACCACAGTCCAACCTGGAGCATGCGACCCAATCCACATACATTTTCCTCACAAAATAAATCTACGTACATCAAGCGAAAACGAGTGTCGACGCCTGAACCTGCCACCCCTTTCCCCCCCGTTATGCGCAAGGCTCCTGAGTCTGAGTCAAGGATGGCCTGGTGGGACTCCGCTTGCTCACGAATCCACCTCCCCCTCTCCCTCCCCCTCCCCCCCGAGTTATTTACTCTGGCATATCTACCTGATCAGCCCCAGCACATTCCACCAGATGCTTCCAGCACCAAGCCAAATGACAAGATTCAGGACACTGCAGATAAACCCATACGTCCACCACTTTGAGAGCGGCACATACCCCGCACCATAGAATACAGGTGCCGATCCAATGCCGTAGTGAGTGAGCCCTCCCATCAAATTTGAAACGAAGCAGAGTACCAATGCGCCAAATAGTGGTGGTGTTCCAAGTGCAGTCGCAACACTGAGGAAGGCAGTAAACATTGCACCAATGTGCGCAGCACCGCTGGCAAAAAAGTAATGTGAATAGAAATACAGCAGCACAAGAATCCCAAAAGCTGGCTGCCAAGGGAGGCCCAAACCTCCAACAACCTGGAGAATCAGTCCACAGAAACCAAAACAATCGATTACCGAGTGCACATCACAATCCACAAGAATTGCGTTAATCAGTCATGGACTTACATCACCATTTCCCTCTAATAGACACCACAGATTCCCAGCATACTAAACTAGGTTCCACCACCTCTCTTTCGTGACCTGGCATCAGAGACTTGTTCCAGTACCTTCCTATTGCAGTACACTAATCAAATGACAGTCTCACAATCCTGCCTATCTGAACACTCCACATCTCTCACAATATCATCTCATAAAGTTCAACATTCTTGTTTGCAATTTTTCATCAGTCAGAAATTCAACCAAAGTCCTTCGGGACATCCGTTAAAACTGGAACGATTTAGCATGGCAAAATAATTAAAAAAAAAAAAAAAAAAACCAATATCTACACCCACCAGACCACCAATCCCTCTCCGACAGTACGTACACAACTGGGAACAAAAATGACACTCAAGAAAACCATCGATATCTGCATTGCAAAATTCCCAGCTACCCAACAGCAACAACCATGAGCGTCCTGCCTATCTGAACACTCCACATCTCTCACAATATCATCTCATAAAGTTACAACATTCTTGTTTGCAATTTTTCATCAGTCAGAAATTCAACCAAAGTCCTTCGGGACATCCGTTAAAATTGGAACGATTTAGCATGGCAAAATAATTAAAAAAAAATAAAATTGGAACGATTTAGCATGGCAAAATAATTATAAAAAAAAAAAAAAACAACCCTACAACTACACCCACCAGAGGTACTTAATCAATGACACCACCAATCCCTCTCCGACAGTACGTACACAACCGGGAACAAAAATGACACTCAAGAAAACCATCGATATCTGCATTGCAAAATTCCCAGCTACCCAACAGCAACAACCATGAGCGCAAACCATCTCAATACACCATCATTCCAACAAAAAACTTGACAATCCAAAGACTTGGCCATCAGAAAACCAACCGGAGATTCAACATTTCAGTTAGGTAACTGGACTGGAGATCCCCACATTACATTTTTGTGCAGTGATTTCCCCTTCTTCATGACATCAAGCCTGACAAACTACAGAATCACACCGCAACCGCCCACCCAATGTACAGAGGTTAACCTGCCAATCATCCGCTATAAACAAGACCATGATTGGACACCTCAGCATCCAGTGCATTCCTGGACTCCTCAGCATCCAGTTCATTCATGCATCATCAGGTTTGGAACTTCAGAGTTGAAAAATTAGAAAAAAAAATAGTTCGCCTAGATTTTGATATATCCGTTTGTTATATTCATATATTCTTTGTTTTGATAACTTCTTGATAACTAACAAGTCAATTAATCAGGGTTCCAGTGCATTGCTGAGAATTACTCACCTTCACAACGCTCTGGCTGAACCACGCAATCAACCCGTACTTATTCAAGTAATTGGCCATGGCAATCAAAGCAGCGAACCAGGTCAATGTGTCCCATGCAACGCCCTCCCCGAGGCACTCCTTCCATGTCACAACGCCTGTGACCAACAACACAGACAGGCCGGCAATTGCTGCGGTGACAGCGTCCACCTTGATTGAAGATCCAAAAATCCAGAGTCCAACCTGTTGTTCACATACGGTTCATTGATCAAGCAAAAATTCAAACAATCAATGATCCCCGCACAACATATTCTTGTCAGTCAATTACATAGCACACACTACAGACCAGGCAGAGTAACCAGCCCTCTTGCACAATATCAGTACAACTTTCAGAAGGCAAACTTTTCCGTTGTTCACAGGATTCCTTACCTCAGCATAACCACCTTACAACAAGACATTGCTCTCTATTCCGGACCAGTCTCCACTACTGCCACGTCTGCGCCAATCACAGAATCTGATTGGTCTACATTCTCCACCTGAATACAACCTTCCTTTCATAGTAGATGCATACAAGATACATTTCCGGCCCAAAAAATGGTAAGGAATCTAAGGATACATAATGCTCAGGCGAAGATCATGGTAGCCCCACGCCTGTGCCAATTTCGGACCTGTCCACATTAGTATCACAAGTCGGTACCCAGTCAGGTTGAACATAATCATAGACTTATGTGATATGGATCAGGGTCGTGACCTACCTTACTAGGTCTCCGCCGAGGAGACTAGTCTTGATAACCCACCAGAAAACAAAAGGTTTCCATAAGCAGGCACTAGGTCTCCGCCGAGGAGACTAGTCTTGATAACCCATCAGAAAACAAAAGGTTTCCCTATCTGGATCATACAACCGGGCATCCAAATGCCATACATACTTTCTTTTAACGTCGCTTAATACCTTCATTGCAGTCTTACGTCTAAATTGGGTGCCAAATTATAACACTTCTTAAATTAAGTGCCAAATTATTACACTTCCCAAATTGAGAGTGCCAAATTATTACACTGCAGTCTTCCCCTCTTGACCGACTGCCAAATTATTACACTGCAGTCTGCCCCGAGTGCCAAATTATTACACTGCAAGTAAACCATTCATATTTTAATGCGTGGCAAACAGTCTAAACAACCTCCTCGTTAATTTATTTCTAGTTGCTCGACATATATTCTAACTATCAATCGATTACTATTGTCATATTATGCTTCCTATTCCCAACAGATGGCTATCCATATCATCCTGTCATTTTCCTTCCGCTACGCAACTCGGGCAACATCTCTCTCTCTCTCTCTCTCTCATCACAGCTGCACATGAAAGTTAAATAAGCATGTGCGACGAAAGAACACGTGGTGATTTCTTCCAAGTGTCAGCCTGCTTTAACATGCTCCTGCACGGCGATACGCCAGACGCACGTTAAAAAAGAAAAGAAAAGAAAAGAAAAGAAAGTATAAAAAAACTCCTGCACGGGGATACGCACGACGCACGTACGCGTATGAGGTGCACCATGCAACGTGCATCCGTCAATGTGCGAGGGAGAAAAAAAACAAAAAAAAAACGGAAAAAAAAACAAAAACGAACGGGCGTAGCTCAGGTGGTACAACACCCCATGGACTATTCAGCAGACCCGAGTTCGAATCCAGAAGGACAAGCTGTGAAACCAAATATTCCTGAATTATTTGGGACTCGTCAGTTCGGTGATAAGATCTCAAGACCAGCACCCTTTCTTCCAAAACAAAAGGGTGAGTAAAAAAGAACATATGAAAAGATTACCCAATCGCCATCCAGACCTTTCCCTGCCTGTTCCTTGACTTTTCGAATTGCGCTCTCAGCTCATGTTGTGTGGCAATGGACCTCGCTCCGTTACTCACCAAATGTGGAACAACATGAGAATGAATCTTCTGGCTGAAGCTGCCACATCTGGCTGAAGCTGCCGCCACCAATTGATATTTCCGGGTAGAATTGTGAGGTTCCCGCGGCCTCGGTCTGAAGTTCATTTTGGAATATAATTGAATGCCTTTTCCTTGTGTAAAAAAAAAAAAAAAAAAAAAAACCCGCCACATCTTTTGTCCTTAAAGTTTGTGCTTGTGGTGAGAAATGGAGTGAGGCCCAATGTCAAGGTGTATATGCCTCACAGAAACGCACCTGGAGTAGAACACCAGCACTCTTCGAAGAAGAGCTGCTGCCAGGCGCGCCATCCACTTCCATCACAAATGGCAGCCGCAATAACTCATCAAGGCCACACAACCAGAAATTACTCTAAAACGTCTACATCCTCCGGCATAATCACTATTAATCAATCTTAAACCAGTACAATTAACCAATTCCTTGCCCGACAACCACAAAGGCTCCAAAACGTGTAGTTCGTCCAGCAGCATAATCACTATAAATCAATTTGAAAACCAAACCAATTGACTTCACATCAGATCGAACGAGATACTTCACCAGTTGATTTAACATCGATCGAACACAGTAAATTTTCAATCGACAGAACTGATCGAAACAACTGTGTGCACAGATCACACTGTGCATTATCTCTTGTCCGCTTACACGTTATCTATAAGTAATATAACACAATTCACCGAAACAACAGTGCATATCACCCTGGAATATCAGGCATCCAGATCCTGCTGGGTATTTAAGCGAACAGATACACTGTCCCTCACAGACATAGTAGAATAACATTTACACGTTTCAGATCCTCATCGTGAATCATCTCACATCCGGTTCGTGTCATCCCACAAAGAACCAGGACTCATTGTGGACTCACCGTCAATCATATCTCACATCCGGTTCCTGTCTTCAGGTACTCTCATCGTGAATCATCTCACATCCGGTTCGTGTCATCCCACAAACAACCAGGACTCGTAGTGGACTCACCGTCAATCTGGTTTCAGTTCCTCTTCTTGAATCATCTCACATCCGGTTCGTGTCATCCCACAAACAACCAGGACTCGTAGTGGACTCACCGTCAATCATATCTCACATCCGGTTCCTGTCTTCGCACAAAGAACCAGGATTGACTGAACCACTAATGCATTCATAAACCAATTGACCTACCAAGTAATTTAATGCTCAATTCAGGACATTACGAATCCTATCTACGCATCGGAACTAAATATTATATTCGATCAAAACGAATACAACTCCATCGATTTGCACGCACAATAACATTGCAGTCGATCCAAAAGACTTGTTCCAAACATAAGGAACATAACTCCATCGATTTGCACTACGAAGTACATTGCACTCGGGTCCAAAAGGACGAGCTGCAGAGTCACGCAGACGTGTTATTTTCCCACAAAGCGTCGTCACACAATTCATTCATTCATTCGCCCAGTCATTCGTCCTCAGGAGAATTAACTCGAGAACCGCATTCATTCACATAGACTGTTCTCTTCCCTGATCGCTAAATCTAGTCTCCTCCACTATCGAACACATGAATTCATTCCATCGCTGTGTAAAAAAATTCACATTGGTCGTCCCTTACCGTCGCAAACAGAACGCCTGGTCATTGTAACTGTATTTCGGGCAACATTCAGTCTCGATAAAGCCACAATGACCGGGTGAACGCGGTGGCTCGTTAGTGTCACCATACCTCAGTTATTCCCTCCACGTTCTCCAGTACAGTTTCAGCTATTCTTTGTCCTGGAGAACACAACATCAATCATCCAGATTCTTCCAAATCCACTTTTTACCTTCAAGTTGCTTTTTGTAAAACTCACATCCAGTCGTTCTCTCGCTCGTCAACGTCACCATATACCTCAGTTAGTCCCTCGTTCCCCAATATCATTTCAGCTATTCTATACCCTGAAACATAACATCCTCAGATAATCCCACATAAACTGATCTCCTTGCTTTTTCGAAAATTTACATTGATCGATTCTCTCATTCTCCAATATAGTTCCAGCTAGTCTTTGTCCTGGAGGGAAGAAATGAGGGGGAGGGGG